GTACTTGCGGCGCATCTACAACTGCAAGTCGCGCACACAGCTCAGCCAATTCAAGAGGTTTGCGAGTTCACCATCCTCATCGAGCTTTGGCAACGCCGCTTGTTCAATAAGGAACGGTAGTCGCATTTGGCCGCGAAGTATGATACGTTGTAGCGCAGTTGCTTGAGATCGCCTCAAATATTGTAATTCATTCGCGTGAGAGCCGAGCAGTGCTCAGACAGGCGCCCACTTTGTTAACCAACAAAGAGAACAACTACGTCACTGATTCCTCTGCGAGCCGCTCATCACTTCAGGTTTTGGATGAGATCTCAGCAAGGAGCTTTGCTCCAAAAGATGATGAACCCCAATCGATCGTACTCTACAGGACATCAATGTCACAGCAGTTTTAGGCAGCAGTAAGTCGCATGCTCCGGCTACAGTAGTTGATGCTGTGCGTTGTCCATCAGAACAGTTTGGTGCCAAGCAAATAACGATAGTAATGCAAATTAGTAACGCAAATGCGCGGAATCAACGCAAGATCACATTCGTATCACGGTGCCATGAGACAACTAGGGCTAGCTAGGGTTTAGCGGATTGACTCTCCCACTGCTCAAAATCCAGTGGTAGGCATCATACATTGGTCCGATCAGGTGGTCATACCTGCCGTGTCCCAAAAAGGTCTATTTTATGCACAGAATACGTCACGGTAAAAGGTTCAGTTTCATTCCTTCCTAAGCTACTTCTCAATACTCTGGCAGTTCCACCCATTTCACACAACCTGGAACTCACGGACGATGAGGAAATTTGGAACGGTACCGTATCTGCCTACCAGGATACTTTGTTAGCTGCGGCAGCGTGCATGCGCGACCGCATGGTCCTCGTGCTCAAAGAAACAAAACACACAGGGCCGGTGCAAAGGCTTAGTGATAGGGATTTCGCGCTGAAATCCCACCGAATGATGACCCATGTATCAGAGCCGACAGGATAAAATTTTGGCACTCGAGAGCATTTTTGTAATTTTCAATAGCACTGAGACTGTACAGACTGCTAGGGAGGTCGATTTTGACGATTTTGGCGCAATGTCATTGATTGCTCGCGTTCAAGTACAGAAGTACAACAACTGGACCTACATGTTATGAAGATTCCAATTCAAATGTAATCACCTTTTGGGCGCGCACATCTACTGGGTATGAGTTTCAGGTCCGACAATTCAAAGATCCTAACCTAG